AAAAAAAAAAAAAAAAAAAAAAAAAAAAAAAAAACAAACCTGAAGCCATGTATTGGGGTGAATGCTGGAAGATCAGAGAAGGAGAACAAGTCACAGCTTCTTTACCTCGCAATTCCTCAGCTGATCCTGTTTCCTCAGACTGGAAGTCTCTGTGTCCTTATCCAAATGGATCTCAACTGAACTGCTGCTCAAAAGCCTGAAAGTTTAACCGGCTCTAGTTCCTGGTCCTCACACCTTATAGACCTTTCTGATTTCTGCCATCACTTCCTGGGATTAAAGGCATGAGTCACCATGCCTGGCTGTTTCCAGTGTGGCCTTGAACTCACAGAGATCCAGATGGATCTCTGCCTCTGGAATGCTAGGATTAAAGGTGTGAGTGCTACCATTTTCTGGTCTCTATGTCTGTTTAGCGACTGTTCTGTTCTCTGACCCCAGATAAGTTTATTAGGGTGCACAATATTTTGGGGAACACTATATCACCACACCAGGGTGGCCTTGAATTTAGAGATCTGGCAGCCTCTTTGCCTTATGAGTGATGAGATTAAAGTAGTGCACCAGCACATCTGGCCCTAAGTTTTCTTTAGTTCCTTTTCACAAAATGAAAGCTTAACTGGGTGGGGTCTTGCTTCGAGGTCACCCCTCCCTTTATTCCGGTTAGCATCTGGCATCTGTTTACACTTCCTGGTACCCCCTTTTCTCCTCAAACTGTACATTTTGTACTTTCTTGCTCAGCTTTTTCCTTTTCATCACAAATCTACATAAGAGTGAACACTAAGAACAACACAACAGTCAATACTAGGCTGCTTTGAGATGTCCTCTGCTAATGTAATTAATTCAAAACTCTTCAATTTAGCCTTCAGCAAACTTTTCAGACAAGGGTAAAAAGCAGTCACATTCTTTGACAAAATATCACAAGGACAGTCATTAAGTCACATACAAATATTCTTCTCCTCTGAAACCTCTTGAGCGGTGCTCCCACAGTTCAAATCCCCTCAGCACCACTGTCTTCTGTGCTGCTACTAGGATGGCCCATTAACCACACTTAAAACGTCCAGGGTCTTTTCTAGTCCAAAGTCCCTAATTGTTCCATATTCCTCCAAACAAAACCATGGTCAGGCCTATCACAGTAATACCCCTCTGCTGGTACCAACTTCTTAGTTAGGGTTTTATTCCTATGAAGAGACACCAAAACCATAGCAACTCTTATAAAGGCAAACATTTAATTGGGGCTAACTTACAGTTCAGAGGTTTAGTCCATTATTGCCATGACAAGAAACATGGTGGTGTGTTAGGCCAATATGGTGCTGGAGAGGTAGCTGAGAGTTCTACATCATGATCGGCAGGCAGCAGGAAGAGAGTGAGCCACTAGGCCTGGCTTGAGCTTCTGAAACCTCAAAGCCCACCCCTCAGTGACATAATTCTTCCAACAAGGCCACATCTACTCCAACAAGGCCACACCTCCAATAATTCCATTCCTTATGAGTTTATGGAGGCCATTTTCATTCAGACCACCACAGTCTTAGTGGAGTCCAGGATTCCCTTACTGATGAGACCACATCTTCCTTTATGATGAGCACCTTGAGGTGCTCTGATCCCAGGCTTTGATTTCCCTGGATGCTTTACAATCAAACAATGCCTCCTCCAAGGAGACACACACACCAGCATGCTCATTGAAAACTTAGACTCTCAGGAGTTTCTGTACTTGGCACTGATATAAACTGACATCCTGAGTATCAAATGTAAGCATCACACACTATTTATCCCAGAGAACATCCTCATGACATGTGAGCCTTGAAGTCTCACTCACCACAAGGAGCCAAGCTTTCACCGAAGTCACCAGTAAAGATGGGTTGTCATAACATAAAGGGTGTTATAATGAACCCTGTAATGGTCTACGACAAGTCTTAAAATTGACTTTGGTTTTCTTCTTTCTCCTTTCTTTCTTTCTTTCTTTCTTTCTTTCTTTCTTTCTTTCTTTCTTTCTTTCTTTCTTTCTT